TGTGCTGAATTTAACGCACGTAAACGCATTAGAAATTCTTTCAAATTAGTTAATGCATGTAAGTTTATTAATATTTCGTGCTAACAAATGAATTAAAAAACGAAAAGGAGTCATGAAAAGGAAATGTTTTGGGTCAAAGAAATTCACTGGTATTTATATTCAAGTTTAAAAACGATTGTTGGTGTTGAAAACGAATATTTGGCATCCTACTCTAATTTAGACGGTAACTTACTTTGAAATAGCATCGACGATTTTGCACGATATTTCGTATTATATTATCGTGCTAAGACCTTAACGTTCAAAAGGTGATTTTAATCTTGATTTTTGCCTTAACGTTCATTTGTCAAGAGCAATCAGCTTAACAACCGAGACAAGTAGTTTCTCAAACTTTCCTCCATTTTTCTGCTGTTTTTGCGATCCATTTAGAATTCAGACCATCGCGAACCATAACTTGCGCTCACCCGCATTCTGGTTCAAACATTTCGTTCTAACTGAAGAGCTATACTTCACAAGCGTCATTTGTAATTGAATCTCCTTTCATCATGTGGTTCAATGCAAAGTCAAAATGAGACTGGAAGTGAATTGTGGAATTGGAGTAGCATAGCAAGCAAATGTCTTTATACTCTTTCCAATTGCTATTCAAAAATCTGAAAACAACCTATTACAATAGAAACTTCGAGAACATTCCGAAAATTAGTATTTATTTTATAGCAAGTGATGTAACGCAACATAAGAGCAAATGAGAAGTGTAAAGGATTGCCGAGCGGGTTTATGTTTCTCTACTTCTGAAAAGATGAAAAGTCTTATTCCTATGAATTACCATAACAAAGAACAGTCACCCTAGCGAAACTCTTGGAGGACTTTTCGTTTTTGAGGAGTGCGATTAGAGACGTCTTTTATGACCGATTTCTAGTAACAGATATATCTTATGAAAGTTTATTTTATGATTATTATTTTAACACTGGCGCCTTGTGAACAATTATTTTGTCCTTCACATACGATGGCTATTATTCGTAATCCATTATTGAATAATTCATGTGAATATTACATGACAGTTGGACTCAATTCTAATTTGAAAGAAAGTACATTTCAACGTAAAAAGTTAAATTTAATAGTTGTTCTTGGTGTGAGTGGTTCAATGCTATCATCATTTGATTGTTATTATTATGATAATCATCGTTTAAAACAAAAAACTGAATACGATACCCGTTCAAAAATTGAAATAGCTAAAAGTGTTGCTAAGAAATTAATTCAGCATTTAAATGTTGACGATGGTTTTGGTTTAGTTACATTTAATGATCGGTCACAAATAATACAACAATTAAAATATATAGAACATAGAAACTTAGATGATCATAATGAAAGTATCTCTAAACTTCAAGCAACTGGTGGAACGAATACGGGTGTTGGTATCAAAAACGATATAGATTTATTTAATGGCATACCACAAACAGATGATTATGATAATCGTATGATATTTATAACTGATGCTGAGCCGAACAGTGGTAGTCTAGATGAAAATTATTTTATATCATCAATTGCAGAAAGTTCAAAAAGACGTATTTATACTACATTTATTGGTGTTGGTATTGATTTTAATACTCAACTAATTGATAGTACAACAAAAACAACGTGGTGCTAATTATTTTTCTATACATGATTCAAAAAAATTTATGGATTTATTAGATGAAGATTTTGATTTAATTGTTACACCATTAGTATTTAAATTACAATTAAATTATCAAAGTAATCAATTTGAAATTGAACATGTTTATGGTTCACCAGAAAATGCTACTAGTACTAGTCAACTAATCAAAATTAATACGCTATTTCCATCTCGTACAAAAAATGGGACAACAAGTGGTGGCATTGTTTTATTAAAACTAAAAAAGTTAAATCCATCAGATCATGTTTATATTCATATGCAATTAAGTGTCAGTTATGAAGATCGTCTTGGAAAAACATCTGAAGAAATGCGTCTTATTGATATGATACGTAAGAAAAAACAATCATCAACAGAAGTTGATAATGATCATTGTCAAACTGTTTATTATTCAAACATCGGTATAAGAAAAACGATATTACTAACCAATTATGCGACATTATTGAAAATATGGATTCGAAATGAACGTGAAGATCGATTAAATTATCAATCTTTAAAAACCCTAGGGATACGAATTACCGCATGACTTATTTGGAAGAACAAATAATGGTTTAAGTCAATGGGAATGTCAGTCGACTCCATTAAAGATTTCACAAGAATATCGACAAATATTTGAAAAGTTTTTAAATCATTTTAAAACAGAAATGAGTATATTGAATGATGTTGACTTAAAGCAAGAAGCTGATGTATTAAAACTTTTATCGGAAAAACTGACAGCTTCATATAAATATTTTACAATTACTCATACAACATAATAAAGCTCTTTGTAAATAGCAATTTTCATCGATTTTAGAATGTCATTAAGGTTTGAAGCTTTTGAAGTATTTTGGATATGTTACTTAACGTATCGGAGAAAATCGTTTTTGATACACGTTTGTATCTAATTTTTATCTATTTACTGTGTATCTGGAAAAACTTAATAATTCAGTTCGACAATGTTCTTTCATTTATACGTTCAATTTTGTCGTTTCAATGATGACTGATGCGTGCATAAACTTTTATCATCGTAAGATTGCCAACTTAAGAGCTGTTGTTCATCATCGTCATGAAAATTATCATCGATATGAACTAATGTTTAATTATTTAAGATTACCCAGTATGTCGTTAACTGTACTGTTGCAACAGAATAGAATGTTTCCGCAAGCTTTCTATACGGAAAGAAAGTACCTCCGCCGCTACTTTTGGTATGCCCTAGTATTTTTCAGAAGATAGCGACTGGCACTGATCGCACTGAATTTAAATAAGATTTAAATGGAAGACATAAACGATTAAAACAGGCTGTCGAATTCGAAACTTTACTGAAGTTGATATTGCATTTATCCAATATCAACAAAACAATGTTACTATGTAGAAAACAGCTGAAAACAACGAAAAATGAATAAATTAAGAAAAACTCCTGAAAAAAATGAGTAACAAAATAGAACGCTAGGAACAACTAGACTGAAACTGGAGCGACTAGATTCCCCTTTTCTTTCGCTTTACGCCAAAAGACAAAGCTTTTCGATGTCTAAATGGACCTATTCAATTGAACCTAGCACCCCAAACAGCATAATATTAACTGCTCTTCTGGCTTTTTTGAAACTAAGACATTAGACTTCAACATGACCAATGTTTCACACGCCCAAAAACTGGCATTTTTCTGCAAACCCGGCAACATACAACGAATTTTAAGCCGAGCAACGTATACAGAACTCAAATTACATAGTAAACAGGATCAGTTCACTATAGTCAGCAGAGACATCCAGTCAACGTTCGATTTGTCTAAGCCAGCAGAATTCCAAGCCCTATATCACGATCGGGGCATAGGATCACACCGACATAACTCAATACTTAATTAACATTAAGCTATATAATCAGAAACCCTAAACTCGCATAAGAATGTGATACTCGAATACACAAAACAATCAGCTGACAGGAGGATTATTGTACGGCGAATTTAGTCGGTACAACTCGATTTTTTTGTAAGTGAAAAGCGCCTGTGAAGTCACACTATGATGACATCGTTACTCCTTAGACTGATCCTTCTGAGTGTCCAAATATGATCAATCTCATATAGAAATTATTGAAAAGAGAACCATTTTTAAACAAAACTTGCTCCAACTAAACGAGTACATCTGATTAAACTATTCCATCAACAGGTTTTCCTGTATTAAATTCAGCCTAATCGGAGAAGAGGACGCAAATTAAAAGCGCATTGAATCAATGCACTCTTAGTTTGCGTCCTCTTTCTCCCAATGCCGTTGAATCAATCTGCAAAAGTGTCGGCACCAGCGACGAGACTATACGCATGAGACTGAACATCAAAACTATGACTTTGGGCGAAAATCGCAGGCCTTTTCAACAAACATGTCGCCAACATATCATTTTGCTCAGAATTGAACACTGTGTCCAGCCATGTGGTTAGAAAAGTTCGTGGATAAAGTTTTACTTTAAAAGATTTTCTAAAAAACTTCGATCGTCAAGGTGCTTTATCCTAAAATTCCTAATTTTGCACCAAATTTATGTTTTTTGGCGTATAAGTATTTGCAATGCTATTTCTTTAACACCGTTCGCGTCAAGTTTATAGTGAGATGCGACTCCGCGCAACTAAAAAGCGTCTGTGAAGTCACACTATGATGACATCGTTCCTCTTCAGACTGATCCGTTCAGCTTAGTGCCCATAATATTGACGTTTTACCATACAACATTTTATGCAAAAGAAGATAAACACACTACTTATTGCATATATCGGAAAGAAAAAAGAAAAAAGTGCTAAGCGGTGTCTTTAAACTAGTGGATATGATGACATCGTTGCTATACCACATTGATTTTTCTTATTACGTGACATCCAGATATAACCATCATTTCCCCATGATTCACCCCATGAATTTTTAACGATATAATAG